GAGAGAGGTTGCCACGCTGCTCTAGAGTATTTCTATGGACTATCTGTACTATTATTGGCAGGCACCTATGTAGACTCTGCCATTGGCAAACCCGACCTGCTTCTAGTAAGATTGTGGCATATGATGGCCAAGAACGGTCTGTATCTCTGTGCACGTCAGGGGCCAATCCCATTCCTGTCTATCAGTGAATCGTTCCATTGAGGCGGCATACTCACGACATACTGTATACCCTCTGTGCATGTACACTGGTGCAGACCAAAAGTACCGCTTGAGTTCGGTGCACATTTCTCCGACTTCCACTTCGCCCGGTCAGAGGGGAGAAAAATGATCGAACACACTGATTCAAAAAGAAAGCAGTCTTCATAATTTTGAGCCACACTGGCCCTCATGGGATGCAATTAAGGAATTCTATTGGTTTCTGACATTCATTTGTAATGATGTTTAAGGGACGCTGAACCCGCTTTTCAGCAGGTGCTGCTCCCCACCAATAGATGGAGCCTCCCTGAGACTGCTAGTGGTGGCTGCTCCTATCACCACTCCTAGCATTACCTCAGGTTTTTTTTTTTTTTTTTTTTTTTTTAAGCTGCTGATTTGGGAAGAACAGGGACCATCTTCCCCTCGACAAAGAGGGCTCCCTAGCAGACTAGCACATCCCAAGGTCTCTGTCTCCATGTGAGTTATGAAGAAGCATAGGAACCGGGGGTTAGCAATAGAATAATGCAGTCCCGCTTCTGCATAGTCAGGACCTGTCCAGGCACCGACTATGATGCAGTCAGGATGTGTATTATAAGCTGATTTAATGTCTGCTCTCTGTCTGCCATGGCAAAATTCGCCGAAGATAACACGGTATTAACACCCCTGGTTAACCACATGTGCAGTGGTCTTCCAGGAATTGTTCTTGAAATCCCGCAAGTCAGCTACGGTGAAAATCCCCTGGCTACCTATAATAGCCATGAAGAACCCTAACTTCAGGAAAAGGGGTGCCCTCGCTCATCCAGAATGCAAAGTTTCCCAAACACAGGCTGTTTCCAGATCACACCCCACGTACTTTGAATCCCTGTGGAGATCCTCCCTGGCCAAATTGGCATAGTGATCCCTCGAAAAGGGTGAATGGTGTGAGAGGGGGAAGCGTCACAGTTGCCCGCCAAGCCCTCTAGAAGAGCCAATTGAATCCATGCAAGGGGGGGGCCAAAGAATTGTATACAAATCAGCCCTCATCATTTTTACTGCTGGTGCGTCCAACTTGCAGAATGCTACCTTGTACCAAATCGTTGAAAAGACGCCATCATTGATAGGTGAGGCCCTCCTTGGTATAGAACTTAAGACCGTCTTCAAGAACACCTTGGAGTGGTCCGAAGGAGACCCTGCCGTAGTGACACGGACCCCCAGAAACCTGATCACCTCATCCGGTCAGTCAGTGATTTGGCAGTGGGAGGCGGTCAGGATTCTGATGAAATGTGCACCACCAGCCAGAGGTCCAGAGGAGGAATATACCACGTTGATCTTGTCGCAGAATTGCCCCCCCAGACATTGGCCCAAATGTCTCCACTCCATTGTTGGTGGGAAAATCCACACTACAGTTCGAGCATCTCCCAGGCCAGCAACCAATGCCCACGTGCTACGTAGAAGGGAGGGCAACAACCCCCTCCCCTTTCCCCCCCCTCCCCCCTTCCCTTTCCCCCAGCCGGATGCATGTGACGTGCCAGCTTCTGTGCCTGAACGGACTTCTTTAGCCCTGTGTTCTGCTACTCTTTTCTTTTCGGCCATGAACGGGCTTTAGGGGTACCTTCTTTTTGCCAGGCGGGTAATGCATGGGATCAGTGGCCGCCGAGGCCTCCCCACTTCGAAGTATTTTTGTTTTCTTAGAATTTTCAGAAATTTTCTTTGTTTTTCTTCAATGTCTATGAATTTACGTAGGAATTACGCGTGCCTTAGCGAGCGCGCTAGGAATTTTGTTCAGCAGTTGGGAACTCCGGAATTTGAGGCCGCACTTCCCGCTGACGTGTCTTTTCTTGTACACGAGTGTTCCCAAATCCGCCTTGGAAAGCTCGGAGAAATTTCTGAAGGAATCTGGATCGGCATAGGACTTTCATGCGTCTAATTCCGCGTGCAGATATTGCTTTTGAAATTTTCAATCTTGAACTACTTTTAGAGATGGATTGAACGGAGAATAACTGTCTAGGTGCCTTTTTGTTTTCGCGCCAGCGCCATGCAAGCTTCCCCCGCCTTCCGCTGTATCCTAAGCCAACTTCACCCTTTTTCTCCTGCGCCTTCTTCCTTTAACCCGTAACTGTTTTCCATCGCCTTTTCCTTTGCGCTTCTTTCTTCCTCCCTTCATCTGAATCTTGGTCCGGCTCCACACCGTTCTTCGCCTCGTCCCCCTTCCCGCCTTCGTCTCTGTACACGAAGTCCCTATTGATCCCCTCTCAGAGCCTTCAAGCCACCAGATGACAGCATGTAAGGAGTATTAATCCCCTCACACTGTGATCTGATTGGGTGCAAAGAACTCATGCGGATCGATATGGCTTGCCCAAGGCAAATAATCTTACTCCCCTCTTTCTTCTCTTTGACCCCTTCTTCTTCCCTCTCTCCTGTCTTCTACCTCCCCCTTCGCAACTGTAAAATCCGCAAGCGCATCCAAAAAGTTCTCTCTCAACCCATCAGCCAGCTTCAGGGAAGTAGTGGCTAGATGATGTGACAATCGACGAGTCGAAAAGTTCTGACGAGCTGACTATAGTTTCACGAGGCTGTGCGCTGGGTGGCCGCGACGGACTGCGGAATCTGGGCAAGTTGGTGTAGAAACTAAGTTGGCGGGGTGACGATTGCTGTGGTATGGAGGTTGTTACGTGGCGGCCGAGATTGCAGTGCCGAGTAAGGAAGGTGTGTGTGTGTGTGTGTACGAGTGGTTGCATGGCCTGGGGCCATGATAAGAGAGCAGAAGGCTTGCACACCTTGTTCTTCATTCTTCTCTTATTTTGGAAGCTAAGTTCACGGTGAAACGTCGGTTTTCCTCAGATCTACTTCTGTGCTTGTAACTCTGTCTTTCTCTTTAGTCCCCTTCTTCAGTCGAGCTACGGCTCCGTCAACACTCTCGCTCTCTGTCTCTTTCTCTCTCTCTCCCTCTCTTTGCTTCTCTCCATTGATGATTGAATGACCTGACGTCTTCCTTGCCCCTATCAACTTCTGAGACCTCACCCCGCTCGTCTCTTTATGTTCAATCGGATCTCGTGGGGACGAGCATCGTTGAACTTAAGAGGCCAGCGAGCTCAAGTACATGCAGGGGGCAACCTATTGGGGCACTTTAGCTGACCTGACGCTAAGTGGGAAGGCAGCTGACAAGTGGCCATTGACCATCACATTTGCGGTAGCTGCCATTTTGAACGTCAGGCCTGATTGCCTAAAGAAAGATCCAAAACCGTCTTGTCCACATGGCCGTACACCTTCAAAATGGAAATGAAGATTACTGCTGCCTCAGACTTCTGCTACCCAGCATACCCGATGGCCTCGTTGACTAGAAGGATATAATCTTGTACATTAAATGATTCCAACAAATGTAGGTCATCAGAGCCAGATCCAATGCACAAAGCCTAAAGGCCAACTAGAAAGCGCAAGGAATCATAATCCACGTTTGGACTATTAATGGGTTGGGAAACATTATTGGGAAACATTATACAAAAAAAAAAAGAAGACACATTGACTTATATATTGCCTGCTTTTTCTTCAGGGGGGGAGGGGGGGGGGAAGGGCAACTAATCCCAACAATCTCACCACGCATCCTAGCAGGGGACTGGAATGCAGAACTACACCCAACTAACAATCACATATCCAGATCTACCATGGCCCAATCTTCTCAGGACGATGCACCTATACAAAAGCTGATTATAGACTACAATTGAATTTTTCCACATCCTCTACCTGAACAGCAAAGCCTTGTCATTGGCTTAGAAAAACCACTCCCATCATACGATAGTCTTGGAGAACACTGGATGCAGTTTCCAGCTGATGCGGCTTCGTGCCAATAGCAATGACCAATCAACCACTGTGAGCCCTCAATTTGGGGGTTGTTGTTATCAGGCCCAGAATAGTGGTCTTACACAAGGAGAAATGTGTCTTTTAAAATACAAAAAAAAAAAAAAAGGTTTGGAACTGGGAAGCAATTTGTCAGCAGCCAGAGAGAAAGTGAAATGCATCGGGATATGGTAGCTGCCAGTAAGATCCTCTCTTTAAACCATTCCTTTGAAACTCACGGCAAATCCGGCAACTGCACAAGGAGGTCACCCTTTCAATGTACCGGACCACCCACAAGCAGTCGGCGTGGAAACTTTAAGGTTCTTGCTTCGACCAAGTAGCCTTGGTTGCTGGTGGGTCCATGGGGGGTAATCAGTTCTGGGCAGCCCGAGATCATTCTTCTCATTTCTCTTTCTTTCTTTCTTTCTTTCTTTCTTTCTTTCTTTGAGATATCGTCATGCAAGTCTTCAGTGCAGGTGGTGATAGCAGCACCCGCTGAGTTGAGACCTTGCCTTTGTTGATCGGGCTTTTCTATTAATGAGGAGCTGCAGCTGCTGAAAGTCAGCTTCAGAGTCCAGTACATAATATAGAATGTGCATCCTTAGGTACCAGAGTACATGTACCCATTGCTTCCCCTGCCAGCATTTCGGGTTCCCGAGAATGGATTCCTCTGATCCTGTTTCCGCTTCAATAACATTCAGGGAATGCTCACAGTAGGACGTTTTCTACTAATCTCTGGACGTGATTGCAGTCCGAATCATCCAGGTCTGGCTGAGATTGAGTCAAATACGTCTCTTGGAGAGTGCTCATGTGAGTATGCCCTCATCCCAGCATATTTTTTTTCAGGCATGCTCGATGCATTTTTCCAGCAGGTGATGCTGCAACCAATAAGACAAGGGTGTTCTTTTTTTTTTTGTTGTTTGTTTGTTTTTGAAGAAAAGACAGAGAATAGAGAACAGGATATGGGTTCATGTCAAAGAAACGAAGTATACCTCTACAAAGAATGTGTGGCCCATTGTGTGGAAAGCAACATTATTCGTCACAGAAAGCCTGTTCACTCCATGAATAGCAATGCCTCGATTGTACGTGTGATGGACGGTACAATTCCGAACATAGGAACTGGGCACATCACCGATCATGTGGAAATGAATGGGGTAGCGCCCCAAACGAAATGCTTGCCCTGCAGAATATTCAACCATTTTTCAATTGCAAAATGTTAGAACTGTGAAACTTAGAATATTTTGTGACTGACTACTTTAGTTAGACCCCCCCTGTCTTTTTGGCCTTTTTTGCCTTGATGGGCTTCTCGGCCCAAAATCGAGCCCATAGCAAGAGGGTCCGCCCCACTTACAGGGCCTCACTCCACTACTCTCCAAACGTGCAAAATGAGAGTGAATCTTCTGCTAGAACATGGAAAGGTCCACCGCCGTGACTTTTGTCTTTGTGCATGTCAAGAGTAGTGGAGCGAGTCCCACAGTCTGAGAGCTCTTGTTTCGTTTAAGAAAACTGCTGTCTTTGACCTGATTTGCTCAGATCTCTGGGTGTGTGTATTTGCTGGTCAGCATGTGTGTTCGCCGGTCCGTCTTAGGCTTCGATCCCACAGTGTGCTTTTAAGAAAAAGTCTGAGAAGTACCATAAAGTCGTGTCCGCGCTTACCGGTTCGTAAAAAACAATTCGGATCCTATGAGCCCAACGGGGAAGGAAGTTCTACACGAATGTTGCCAAGTTGCACTCAGTCCCAACGCGGTCTGCGGAATCGAACGGCCAACGGTTACAAACGGACAACAGAAAAGAAAAAAAAAGAACAATTTTGAATTTTGCACAGCCGCCGACTTTCAGGGAGAGGGGCAGGGGGTCAGCCTCTTTTGGAAATTCAATCCCGAAACCCACCACGACTCGCTCCTGTGCTACCACAAAGGAGGCCCAGAGAAGAAACAGTCTAATTATTTTCAAAGTCCGCTCGCCACGGAAACATGTGGGATCACTTTTTTTTTCCGAAAGTACGTCTACTAGCGATTGTGGGATCCAAGCCTTATGCGTGCTGGGCTCTACGCTTCTTTTTTCCCCTTTTTTTTTTTTCATGAACTATAACTGTAATTGGAAACCGAGGCCGGGGTCCATGCAATTCAGCCCTGGTAATACTGGGCCCATGATCCAGCTTCAGGAGTCATTTACTTCTAGTCCGCATGTGCTAACTCTATTCTTGCACTGTGTTTCTGTGACCCAGGGAGATGTAGATTAGAAATAGACGGAGTTGCTGGGACAGCCCGGAAATCCGGCTGCAGGACTTCCAAGTAATTCTAGGACGGGCAGGGACAGAAGTAAGAACTTGGAAGGGACCGCTTGGGGGTTTTCCAGCAAGTCGTGGTGGTTGGAAACCGAGGCCGGGGTCCTTGCAATTCAGCCCTGGTAATACTGGGCCCATGATCCAGCTTCAGGAGTCATTTACTTCTAGTCCGCATGTGCTAACTCTATTCTCGCGCTGTGTTTCTGTGACCCAGGGAGATGTAGATTAGAAATAGACGGAGTTGCCGGGACAGCCCGGAAATCCGGCTGCAGGACTTCCAAGTAATTCTAGGACGGGCAGGGACAGAAGTAAGAACTTGGAAGGGACCGCTTCGGGGTTTTCCAGCAAGTCGCGGTGGTTCTTAAGTTCGTTAGGCCAGCAAGTAGGTGTCATGATGGTAGTGAACTGCATTTAGACTCATACCAGTTCCGGTACGGGAACAGCAGGGTAGATTGCAGTCGGGAATGCTGTTCCGACCCAAAAGGAGGGAACATGGTCCAACACAATCCGAGCGAGGGAAAGAAGAACCCGGGCCAAGAGTATATAATTTGTAGTACTAGACCGGAACATTCACCCACCACGCATGCTACCATGCCCAGAGGGAGAGGTTGATTGAGCATGAGAGTAATGAGGACACAAAGTGTGACAGAGAAGACCTGCATGGCCGTGAGGTGGAGTAATTCACCTATCGAAGGAGAAAGCAGAGGCCGACATTGGGGAACGGGGTCATCAGGGATGTGTTCATAGTAGCAAAGGAGGAGGAGGAGGAGAGGAGGAGGAGGAGGAGGAGAGGAGGAGGAGGGAGGGAACCGAGAACAAGACTTACCTCTGAATATGCTTGACATTCATCTTTACTTCCTTTGTTGAGCTGAGTCAAGAGCGCCCTATTGCGGTACCAGTTGCAAAATGGACTCCATCTGTGAGTGAGGCATGGCGGTAGAAGAAGGGAGACTCAGTAGTAGTGCATTGTCCTCTGAAAATCTTGTGCTAGCCAGGGGTGATCCGCCATATCCAGTGGCAGTACTAGGAGTTGAGAGGGCTAAACGAAAGTTCTTTCTGCCCTGGCAAGTGATTGCGATCTGGAAGAGACACGTGACACTCACTGCCCCCATACTCCGACCTCTTTTCGCCAAAGACCGCTTCCTGCTCTTCCCTGTTACCCCCCACCCCACCTCGCCCCCGACCGCCGAATCATGGGTCGAGGACTTACCCGCAAGAGAGGTCTTCCTCAACTCATTCGGAAGTCGTTTCATATGGACTGAGTACCGAGTAACAGTGGTGGCACATGGCTGTATGATCGTGTCACGCGGCATGGGATCAATCTGACAAGGGAGGCAGACGAAGGGGGCAATACACACACACACACACACACACACACACACACACACACACAGACACACACACACACACACACAGAGAGAGAGAGAGAGAGAGAGAGAGAGAGAGA